ATTTTTTTTTTTTTTTTTTTTTTTTTTTTTTTTTTTTTTTTTTTTGATAAATCGACTGCCGAAGGCTCGGAAGATGTGGCATTGTGGAAAGTGCTTTATTTTTCATAAACTGTCAAGCATTTAAAGATAAACAGTAGGACGCAACAGGCTGCAGCCATGGTTACGTGTTTTTATAAATTCCATAATGATTTTATTAAGACGGCTTCTCGACTGTCACTGAATGAAAACCACAAAATTTCTGACCCACTGTTTGTTTCTAGGGCTATGACAGAGCTGCGTTTGCACATGAATTCATAGGGCAAATAAAAAGGAATCTAAAATTTTGTCACTTCTTGCTATACAGCAAACTAAAGGTTATTTCAATCTGTGATCGCTGACGCTACGCTCTGGATCTAATTTTCCTCGTAAAATTACTTTCGATAAATCTGTCTCATGCACCGTTCGTTTAATCATTTCGGCGGCAGATCTGAGGTGGCGACGGAATGGAGGTCTCGGCCACTTTCAGGTTCCTTTTCCAGCAAAGATACTTGGAGTTGCGACAGTGGATGGGTCTATGTGTACTGGCGTCCAAGAATAATTCTTTAATTTCAAAAATTAAGATTGCAGTGTTAACCATGCAAACAGTTCACTTGGTGAAACTGCGTTACTGGTTGCAAAATAAAGTAGTGCTGATACGGGATATGGCAATACCGGAAAGTATAACCTACCAGTGCAGCGTGGAAAATTGCATGCATAATCGTGCTCCAAATGCCATAACAACGGCATCAACATCAATTATATGTTTTATTTACATGCCACACGTCTACGCTGTCGAAATCACGCAACCGTGTTTAATATTCCAGAAAGTGATCGTGTGACATAGAAGTTCTTATCTACGTCAAAATAGCTTCAAAACACCATTCAGTATCATTCAATTTCCATATTTCATAGCGAGTACGTTGTGCTAACATGCAGTTTGTTTCGTCTGGCGAAAAGACCGTGCAAATTCGGCTGCTCCCTGGTCTCCACTTTTCTCCACAGGAAATAGCTTCTTTATTCACCATTTCTGTTCCAGTCAATTTAATGCCTAAATTTAATGTTATTCGACTCAGTACTGCACTATCCAGGCTGATGAGCAGCTCACTGCTGAATTTTGTTAAATTTTGCGACCCTCTCGCCTTTTTTTGATTGTGCTTCCAAGCAAATTTGATGATTTCAGCAGTGCTCCCTCCCGCTCCTAATGTTCTACTAGTAGTACTTGCTTGTGGTACTGTGACAAAGCAAGCAGTATCGCCTTTAGTGATACCGGGAAAACCTCATTTTCACAACAGTGCTCCTCAATTGCTAGCTTGTAACTCACATAACACTGCTTTCCGTATACCGATAGAATATTTGAAAACGTTTTTTGCCAGAAAATTTTAAGTATTAGTAGATTTATTGCTGTAACACTGTGGCGAAAAAAAAATTGTGAAGGCGTCCCTGTTGATTCTTATTGTACATCTACCTTTCTAAAGCTTCTACTGAATTGTGAAATGAAGTTAAATTTGTATGAATTATTATCTTCACAAGGCAGATTATTTAAAGTGTAAAATAAGTGGCTAACACGTCGACTGCCGATACGAAGATATATTTTTTGCACAGTTCTAGTCGTTAACAGCACTGTTTTTTGTTCTAGTCGTTAACAGCACTGCTTCTAGCTAAAAGAATTGAGACTGGCCACCGTGGCTGTCAAAAAACATCCTCTTAAAACTTCAGCTTTCCATCTTTTCCAATTCCCGAGTTAGTAACTTATCCGCCAAGAATTTTCACAGGCTCGTACGTGAGAACCATGCGCACCTGAGGTCTGCGTTTGAAGTCATCAGTTTACACATGGGCTGGAAACATCTTAAAATTTCAGATTTCTAGCTTTTCTGGTTCCTGAGTTAGTGGCTTACTCACCAAAACATTTCGTGGGCCCGCAAGCGGAAAACACATGGGCATGAGCGTCCATTTTAAGAATAGGGGCATGTATATGCGTGAGGATTAAGTTCTCAAACTTTCAGCGTTGTAGCTTTTGTAGGTCTCAAGATGAAAACTCGGTACAGATGCACACATAGATACAAATATACACAAACAGCCCCTCGATAATATGCGTTTTTGCATTGCACAGATGCAAAAGACACACTAAAAGAAAGAAGTTGACAGTGCACCGGCTGCCGGTGCGAAGACGCGTTTTTTGCACAGTTCTCTCGCAGATTTTTGTGAGCTGATGGCACTGTTTTTTCCAGCAGATGCTTCTAGCTAAAAGAATTGAGAGTGTTAGAATTTTTTGGGAGTCACTGTAATAATTTCCACGACTGTGAGAAATTATTGCAACGACTCCCAAAAAATTCAGTACTCCAAATGCGCAGCTACGTCAAATTTCACGTGTTCGTACGTGAGGGGCAACGTGAATGCTGTTAATGCGTGCGCCTGCTAAAGCAGGGTCCTGGGTCGCGCTCAGAAAATTTCAGCGCTCTAGTTGTTTTGGTTGCGGAATCACGTTAAGTTTCACGCGTGTGTGCGTGAGGAATGAGGAAGGCATGAAATTTGTTTTTACGTCCATCTGGTCAAAGGCCACTTTCGGTTATACCCAAAAAATCCCAGTCCACTATCTGCTTCAATTGAATTTCAATCTGAAATAGAAGAATAGAAGGATTTCACGTTAATCTCATGTGTATTAAGATATTTTATGATGTAGTCTGTGTTTCACTCCCTAGTTTCATACACTGACCGAACTATGCATGCGGGTAGGAGCGGGAATCATCAGAACAGCCACCTACCCGCCATGTTTTAAATGGTCATATAACTAATTTGCAAGGCGGAGAAGCGAAAGAAAGAGATATAAGTGAAGGAGCAGAAGAGTGGGAGAGAAAGGAAAGAAAGAAGTTAACTAGTGATACGGGCAATCATTATATGTAATTATTAGGAACAACTTTTTATGAGAATAAACTGCTCGCTAGGCGCTTAATTTCTGAATCATCAGGGAAGATGAATTTGCTCAGTACTGCTCGGTTCCTGAAGCAAAGTCTGAGAACGGAGCGTTCTAATTTGGCAACATGAAACTTATTTTTTCTATAGATACTTATAAGCCGTCTAGCCCAGTCATGAAATCCCTTTGGAAGAGTGTATATACGTGCATAACGAAGTAGTTGCGATATAGTGACTCCTTCTTGCACCATTTGGTCCATATCACTATCTGGATACGCTCTGTGATTTACGTCGAATGGGTAGTTTAAGGTTTTATTGCATGCGCTGAAAATGCATCTGTCCTCTTGGCATGAAATTTCGAGGTCTAAAAAGCAAGCCCTTTGTCCGGAGTAGGTAGTGTTGAGTTGCAAGCTGGGTCCGTAGATATTACTGGCTATTTCAGCAAAGTTAGCGCAGTTAGCAATGAAGATGTCACAGAAATGCCGAAAGAGATGAAGATGAGTACTAGGATTTTTACAAAGGAACCGATACTCTATGACCGATAATATGAGATCGGCAAAATCTGGACTAGCATTTCCTCCCATTGTTACACCTTGTATTTGCGTGAAAACGTAATCACTAAATCGTACGTATGTTTCTTGAAGAATAATTCGAAGCATCGCCTTGACTTCATCCTTTGCATAAGATATGACATCACCCGTAACTTCGTTAGCATTCCAGTTCTAGGTTTTACTTACGCTTTTCTTGTATTGGTGAAGCAGAGGTCAATAAGATAGAATAGGTCATCAATATTGTGGGAATGCTGTGGACTGGTGGAAAGATTGTTGAAGCCTGCTGTATGTATGTATTCGATCTTACTGCCTAGTGTGGAGAGCTTCTGCACCACAGTTTGTGAACTGGTAATGGTGGAATAAACGCGCCGTCTATTGCGCGTAGCCATTTGCGTACAGTAACTGCGAAAATGAGTCTTAAAATGAAATTGGAACGCACCAGGCTATCCGGTGCGATCATGTGTTTCTGTAATAAACTCGCAGATCGCTATTAGCAAGAATGATCCCTACGCTGTAGCCTAACACTTGGGCTCATATT